CATTTTGAGTACAATAATATCGTTGACTTATGAAAGGCACTTAAGGTAATCAGTTCAAAAAAAGGGACCAAACAACTCGAATGGTTTCAAAAAATCTCCCGTTTTTAGGAGCTATTTTATTATACTTACTGATTGCTAACAATTTTCCACCCTAAAAAAATCCCATCTTAATTGTATTAAATGTATGGGTTCCTTATGTCTTTTTGTTTTAGTTGTCCAATGCAAAGCCATTACACACGCGCATGGGCCATGTGTACACACAAACCACAGTCCATACACGTAATTTCCGAGATTCAACTATTGAAATAATTCATTTTTTTCTAATGTGCAGAACTCGCATGTGGAGCGTAAGACTAGATTTTCTTTTCTAGAATTCTCAACTATTTTCTTATTTGAAGCTTTAGAAAATATATATATATATTTCGGAACGTTGATATGTTGCCTTGGTTACCACAGATGGTGAGCGTTTGCCAACCAATAAGAGACAGCGGCTCTTTCGAAATGCCAGTCTCACGATCAGTAACATTCAGAAAGCCGAGGATGAAGGAACCTACTCATGTACAGCCAAAAACAGAGATGGCGCCACTGCCAAAGGAAGTGTGAAAGTTACCGTTCAAGGTAACAAACTTATAATGATAAGAATAAAACAATCTATATATCTATCAAAAGAATGAATATAAATAATTTTCTAGGATAATCAACTTTGGATCACTATGTACATAATAATTTGCCAAATATATGTAATAAAATTTATAAAATAGGCTTAATTTTACTTGTTTCCCTTAATTATGAAGTGATCATGAACTAATCAAGTAACAGTAGCTTTATATTTTAGTTCTCGAATGTTTATAGTTACAATCAACCAGTGCCTTGCTAATTTAGCTGTAATTAGGCTTAAAGTGGATTACCTAAGTTTGGAATGTTTATATGCACAACCAACCAAGAAATAAGCCTCTTGCTTATTAAGCTGAAGTTAAGCATAAAGCGGATTACCTACATTTGCAAATCAACGATGCAGATCGCGTTTGCAATTACTGGGTGTCGCAAAAGTTGGTTACTATAAAATAAATGTCTATACTCGCTTAATGAATGTGATAAAAAAGGCCACCCTGAAAGGCAATAAAGTTCAGGTCACATCCTTACATTCATCAATGGTTAGTATCAGCATCCAATAAAATCTTCAAAGAAACATGAAGTAGCAATTTTAAATTGACCAACGTTACAACGGCAACAGATTTTTGGGACACCTAGTAGCCGTTTCGAAAGCATTATGTTGTATTTATTGTCGAATAATTGATTTCCAATTGAGTATAGCTGTTCCGTTCCAGAGAAACCCGTCATCCTGCCATTCAACTTTCCCAAGGAAATACAACAAGGGATGAAAATTCGTCTATTTTGTACAGTTGCTGCTGGCGATCCTCCGTTTCAGCTGAGTTGGTTTAAAGATGGCCAACCTCTTTTGCCTGGACGGAGTGATGTCATCATTAACACTCCAGGTGAAGATTACAGTTCCTTGATTATTGAGAGTGCCACGCCTGAACACAACGGTCAGTACACGTGTAGTGCAAAGAATGATGCAGCGTTGGTGAATTACACCTCAACCCTTGTAGTCCGAGGTAAGGTAACAAATAACTTTAATTGTATTTTTATTGGAAACTCATTTTATCGATAGTTTTATTCATAAAATACAAAAAAGCTTTAGAAATTAGTTGTTGAATGATTCAAGGCTGTTTTTTTGTCAAAATGATTTCTAAATGAAGTAGACAGCATATGCAACTTTACGCGATGTAAGTTAACTTTTGCGTTCACAATAATATTGAGCGCTGCGCTTCGCAAACGCAATACCAAATTTATAAAAAGGAAAAGCGCTTGAAAGTAAGCTTGTTACAAATTTTTGCATCGAATGAACAAAAATAATTTAATCTTAACATTGTATCCCCTTGCCCCCGTAATTTCGATACGTTATTGTACAGGACGTAGTAAACTTTAGACCTCTTTCAAAACTCTTGAAAATATCGGTCGATAAAGATCCAATATCAATGAAATGTATAACGTTTCGTTATATTAAGATTTTAATTAAACAAATTTGATAAGCTACAAGAAAGTCATTTCTTATGTTATGTTTAAAGTATTCTAAATAGGACCTTTATTTCTGTTTCTAATCCTGGATATTTTTTCAGTAATTTTTAGTAAGAGAACAAGAACTGAAACATATCAAAACTTAGTTTATTAAGAGCACTAAATAAACAAATAATTTATTGAAGACTCCCATTTTTCTTGAATTGTCTCCCGGTGAGACAGCGATAAGTTTACGGGTTTACAACGTTAAAATCCAGTGTTCGATTGCCCGCGCTGGACTCAGTAGTTAACTTAATGTGGATTTTGTCTAAAACAAACAAGAAAATTCTCGAAATAAAACCAACCTAGTTTTTGATTATTATAACTTTTTCTTAGTTCCCCCAAGGTGGCGCATAAAGCCGTCTGATGTCAGTGTCATTGCTGGAAAAAGTGTCACTTTGCACTGCCAAGCCGAAGGATATCCTCAACCGCGGGTTGTGTGGGAAAGAAAAACAGGCAGGAATTTTTACATACAAATATAAGTAACAGTTATATATTTAAAAAACCCTTTTGTTATTTTTTTACGTAACATTTGATACATCAGTGAACTCTATAGTGAGTTTTACAAGAAAAAAGGAGAAAAGAAAGTTTACCTGAGTTATCCAATGATTATAATTGTAAAAGGTTGAATGAACTGGTTTTAGATATATAATGTTGTCATAATTAATTCTACTTTCGCCGCAAGGTGAAATACTTTTATATTTGATATCATAAATTAGTCTATTTAAAAATATTATTTTCAAATTTCTATGTAATTTTGCACTCGTTTATTTGATTAACAACCATTATTTTTATAATATGCATCATGCCAATTAGTTAAACTGTTCCGTATGACTATAAAATTAGCACTGGTAGAATAATCTCGGAAAACACGAAAAGGAATAAAAATTGGGGGAATTTGGGATTAAAATTACTGTTTAATAAAAAAAATATCACAATTTTAAGAGAATTATTTTCTGTTTCGTTGTGAGTGTAAATATTATTTTAAAGCCTAATATAGTATTTTACCTGTTTTAAAGCATCTATGGTAAGCGGTTACCAGCATATCAGCACAAGTTATCATTATCAGATCTTCGAAAATGGATCTTTGACTATAGAGGGCGTTACTGAGCAAGATGCTGGGTTCTACTTGTGTCAAGCAACAAACGGAATCGGACCGGAAATGAGTACGGTGGTTAACGTTAGCGTTCACAGTAAGTTCATAAAAACTTTACTTTGAAATACTTTTTATTTCAATATACTTTTTATAATTAACGAAATAAAGGCAAACGTTTTGGCCAGTTAACGTTATCAAGAAAAAACCGTTCAGTAAGTTTTATTGAAAATAATTTTATGCACTCACTACTATTTTTTGGCTTTTATTCCCCCTCTCCCCCATTAGTTACTCATTCGTAAGTCAACAGGCTTTACAACGCTTGAAAAAGGGTTTCAGTACGCCTGGTGGACAGAACACAGATAGCACATTGTGGAGTTTTGCTCTTAACAACAAACAACCAACTTTCATTTTTTCGTTATTGTTGACTTTCACACCGGAAACGAAGTTTTCAAAATTCTTTTGCACAAAGATTGTAATAGTTTACTAGAATTATTATTTCCGTTTTATTTAAATAGCTAGCGTCATATATATATATATATAATTAATGTAGTGTTATGGAGAGAAGAAAAAACCGCTGCCACAAAACAAACATCCAATTGGAATTACTTTTTTGGACATTTCGTATCTTGTATAGGTAGAATAATAAAGTTATATCACCTTCCCTATATAAGACCTACTACTGTGTGGATCGCTTTAGAACCATTGAAGATCCGGATAGTAGCATGGAAGGGTGGAGGATGGGAGCTATACTAATAATTGAGGTTGGGCTTAATATTGTAATATCTTCAAGTTATATCACCTTCCCTATATAAGACCTACTACTGTGTGGATCTCTTTAGAACCATTGAAGATCCGGATAGTAGCATGGAAGGGTAGAGGATGGGAGCTATACTAATAATTGAGGTTGGGCTTAATATTGTAATATCTTCAAGTTATATCACCTTCCCTATATAAGACCTACTACTGTGTGGATCTCTTTAGAACCATTGAA